TTTTAGACACTATATTAGTCAAACTGATTCCTCTGTGATTGTCACAAGAGGACTTTTGTCCTTTCTTATAGACTGGCACAATCAGTGATTGAGACCAGTCAGATGGGATTACGTCCAGTTCCCAAATTCTACCTAAGACCTCAGTTAATCTCACTGCTAATACTGGACCACCATCCTTAAAAATCTCAGGAGTAAACCTGTCAGGGCCTGCTGCTCTCCCTCGCTTCAGATTTCCTATGGCTTTTTCAACTTCGTAAAGAGCGGAGGACCTACATTAACTTGCCATTCAGGTTGACTGGAGATCGTGGGAAACCGAAGTGTGGCTGAAGGCCAGTTGAACTGATCCCTAAAGTGTTCTGCCCATCGATCCAATCTCCTGGATTGAGAATGTATAATATGTCCATCTTTCTCTGAGATTGTTTCGCTAACAGTCGGTTTCCTAATTCCGGTTTCCTTAACGAGTCTGAACAATTGTCTGCTATTACCTATTGCCGCTGCCTTTTCCATCTCTCTTGCTTTCGCTACCCACCACTGTTCACGATCATTGCGTAGACTTCTTGTCAGCTTGCGCTTAAGCTGACTCCGCTCTTCATTATGTTCAGAGCCAGGTGGAATGAGTTTCCGAGCATCTATCAGTGCGATAGATGCTGCTGAGATCCAGTGTTGCTCCCTAACCTTGTGGTTTACCTTACTAGCAGATATCACTGCTGTTTCCACAGCTTTTCGGATATCATTCCATGCTGCCTCGGGGTGGGCATCACATACATGGCTGCCTAACTGTTTTCCTAGTTGTTCCTGAAATATACTCTTAGCTTGACTATCATTAAGTAGGGCCCTAAGAGGTTTCCTTGCAGCGTCTTTCCTACGTCCAGTAAGACGCAGACAAATACGCGCTCGCACTAGAGCATGATCTGAATCTAAGCATGTGCTCCAGAATGAGCGACAGTCTTCTATCGAGCCCCTCCATCGGTGGCTGATAGCGATGTGATCTATTTGGGTCCAACGTTGGGACGAATTAGGGGGTCGCCATGTTAAAAGATGTTTTTCCTTATGCTTAAAGTTAGTATTTGCAAGGAACAGGCGGTTATCTGAGCATAGCTGCAACAGACGGTCGCCATTATCTGTTCTTTGAGCCACGACACCATAAGATCCACCTAGGTGTCTTTCCCTATCGCTTAGTTTACCTACTTGAGCATTAAAGTCACCGGCCACTATTACTACATCCGAGCGCCTAGCTTTTCGGAGAAGGTCGGAGAGCTTTCTGTAAAACTCATCTTTTACATCATCTGAGCTGCAGTCAGTGGGAGAATAGGCAGAGACGACGAAGAGGCAACGACGAGTGTCCCTATCTTTTCGGATCCTTACTGTTCCGTTCAGTCGGACAGCGCACAAACGACTGTCTACTGGGATCCACTCTAAGAGAGCTAGTTCTGCCCTAGGACTCAATGCTATACCTACGCCGGCGAGGCCACGGGAAGCAGAATCAGGGCTTCCAGATACACGAAGTGTGAATCGAGTCGGTTCTTTATTTTGGCATGGTGAGGTCAAATGAATGACGCTACTGGATCCTGTATGCGCGTTTCGGAGACGCAGCACACATCGATGGCGCGAGATTCTAAAGTCCTAGCTAAGGAAGCCTGTTGTCCTATTTGGCACAGTGTTCGGACGTTAAAAGCTCCTACGTGTAGTTTAGAGCGTGGTTTCAGGAGACCAGGAATAGCGTTCCGCGTACTCGAATCGTTTGCCCTAGCGGTGCGAGGTGATAAAGAGACGTGAGGAGGGTTAGTCATGGAGATAAGAGAGGTATTAGGAGGTGTAGGAAGGATTTGAATGTGACCAACTTGGTCTCGTGTGCTGTTACGGGTATGAGGGCTGATATCACTTCCCGGCTGCCCACACCGTGGAAGGGTATTTCTTGAGGAACCTGAAAAGGAAATTGGATTAGTGTTGGTCTTAACGACCTGGGAGCGTGACCGCAGAGCCCAAGGGACAACTGCTTGAGGCCGGTCGCGCACGGCCTTTTCGTGGAAGGTTTTTAATGTGTTAGCTCCGTTCTTCAAAGGGCCTTACCGCCGGAGACGGAAATCCGTGAGGTAAGGTGAGGTGTGACATTTTTAGGGTCGACCTTTTCTAACCCCACCCCTCCTTGTGGGAAGGCAGCATCGCTGCAATGCTGGTTGTCCGAGGGAAACACCTTACTGCTGTCACACCCTCTACAGTCAGCAGTACGACTTCGCCCTCAGACCTTGAGTTGCTGCTTTTAGTCTTACCGTTCTCCGATCGACCTGCCTGGCATGGTAGAACCTACAGGAACATATGTTCCAGCCAATTTAGCTCTGTTGGGTCATCACAATAGGCAAGCCCGTTCACCGCGTCAAGATAGCAGCTTCGGTCGGGATAAAGAGGTAATAAAACAAATGAACTAATAATAGTAACAGCAATTTGAAATTCATTCTGTTTTACGGAGTTTAGTTTGATTCACAGCTTAAATAAGTTTCCTGTGCGTTACCAATGCTTTTTAAAGTAACTATATTTACTTAGAGTGGTGATAATTAACATGTCTGTGTTTTTTATTTAAATGATGTTGAAAAATCATGAAGTAACTCAATGCTTAGATTTAGGCGTTAAGGTGACTTGGATTGTGTAATCTCATACGTCCTCATTTTCCAAGTCTCGGAACTGAGTAGTTGAATTAGCCAGCTAGCGGACGACAGAGCTAGTTGGAAAATCGCTTTCAGTCAGAATAGCACTGCATCATTCGTAATAACTACCTATGAGTACTCATTTCTAACACATGCTTGTGATGAATAAATTGGCTGTGCACGAGATATGTAAGTTATAGGACTCAAACAATGAGAACAATACAAACACAGGCATGTTCAGATAATGTACCCTGGGTAAATCTAAAAAATCGCGTCCTGATTTTCCTTTCAAATGCACAAAATATGATTGTAGTAGTGATTTACTTCATGATCAGGGAAATTCGTTCATGTTTTGTCATGTTATATTTATGTTCATTTTAAGGGGAAAGTGATAAAATAACACTAATTAGATTAAAAACCATTTGACTCTTCAGCTTTATCGTACAAAACATGTTCAGTCCGAAAAACGAATCATAATGTCTTGTCTGGGAAGAGCGTACTGACAGGTCAACGTAATTTTGGCATGCTAGTCTAATTGATATTTATAAAATCACATTTTGCATTAAGCTTCCGAAAAAAATGAAAATTGCTTTGGAAAACGAAAGTAATACTTCACCACAAAATGAGATACTATTCTTATGACTGATGGTGTGAATTATAACTTAGCGAGAGTTTCATGCTTTCCTGTGACTGTCTTAAAATCTCTTATCGTTTTATTGCTAACGAAGTGCCGCGATCATTAAATTTCTTCGGGTTGTTACGTCGAATACACTTTCAAAGAGGAACATAACACTTTGATAAAGCTTCCCCAAACTTTGCGTGATCTAAACACAATCACCTATTAACTATTAAGACTAAAATTAATTGAGTACGAAAAGTTTCTCACTAACAATAAGATACAATATACATCACATAATAAATAGATTTTTGGTGAAAAGAATATGATCGTAATACTCTTATCATCACTTCAATAACAAAAAACCTAAATGTTTGAAATGAAGTCGGTAGTCTTCTATAGAAATGGGGATTTATGACTACTACCGCCATGACGTTTCAATACTAATGATAGTGGGATGTCCGCTCTCAATTCAAGTAAAACTGAACTTCTAAAACCGTTATTTTTTAACTTAATAGTTTAGAGATCAAATAAATTTATATCAAAACTTCCAAAGCGACAGCCGGTAGATGAGTCATTAAATAGTGGTAGCAACGTATGAATTTTCTACCGATAAATCACACGTTAATGTATATTTTGCCATGAAACATCATCTGTTCTTTATCCAAGCAAGATAAAGAGGTGATTGCATAATCTCGTCTCTTAATATTCCTGCCATTGCGTAATGGATAAGTAGGCTCTAAAGATCCAGATCAACCTACTACACAAACGAATTACTGCCGGTTTTTCGTTTAAAACCGAGATAGTATGAGTCACGTGACGATAAACTTATTGAAAAAAATATTATTTACACCTGAAAAATTCTTTTGAGCAAATGATCTGACTAGTTTTCAACATCAGTCTTTAACCCCATTGTTTTAATGATTCCGGCCAGCTTAAAGTTTCCAGTCAGAAATTGAAGGCACTTTAAGAAATTCACTCTTTAAAAACGTCAGTTTTCTAATTCCTTAATAACTAATTTGACAGGCTCGTCTTTCTTTACATGAGAGTGTGGACGAGAGTTCTGCTTCATCTTGTACTTTGTTCTTTCCATCAATCAACAGTCTTTTGCGTATGCATGGGTTGTTAAGGTGATAAAATACTTCTAATCTGTGTAATACACAACTCCTATTAAGAGATACACACAATAATTCCATTGCCTATTGGTCTAATCGTCATTAGTTCACGCACAAACAACTCGTCCCACTGAAGATAAAATGTCATAAAAATGGATTTTATATCACATGAGGTTTTCGGATTGCTTTCTTTAAGATAAAACATATGTTACGTGAGTAGTTTTCCAGTGTATGTCCATAATTCCTGGGCTTTTTCTTGAATAATTTATATGAAAATTAGACACCAAGTCTTGCTACGTAATATCCATCGTGTGCACTATACAGTTGCATAACACAGGTTTTCCCAGGAATATATACTTCCGAAGACTTAAGTATAACTCGACTTCGATCGAAGTCACGAAAAATTACCTCGACAGAAACAAAAATGTTTTGCATAGTATTTCCGAGCAAATAAAATAAATGAAAAACGCGTAACTTAATGAACATTTACAAATATCAAACTTTTTAATCGCAACTTTCATAACCCTGATAGTATAGGAGCGAATGTAACCAGGTTTGAAATATTGAAATACTCTCGAGATAACATATTACGTAACATAATCAAAAACATTGAAAGATGACCCTTACACTGATAGGCAAATTCTTTTGTAAGGGGAAATCCTTGTCGGACATCACTGTATTTTGCGCGATAGATCCACAAAATTCAGTTTATCACACTCATGAGGTCAGATTAAATAAATTATACTTAGGAAATTAAAACAACTCAGAAGCAGAAATTCCCATTTGTTCACAGAACTAACATATTAGATAAAATGATAAATGCCTCACCTATTAGTAACTAAAAACGTGCTCTTTGCTTAAAGTTACTCTAGCAGTGTTAGGAATATTTTAATTAACTAATATGACGTACTTCAATGAAGTAAAATTCGAAACACCGTTGCACTATGATTTGTGCAAAGGGTTTGGAAAATTATTATGAGGCTACTAGCGACTGATAAATAAGGGGTATAGATTTAGAGGATTCGCCACTGCGAACAATGAGCTAACCATTGTGCTTTTTTTTCTAAGTCCTCACTTTCATTCCTCATTGATTTCCACTAATTGCCTGTTTGTGTTGTCCTGTGCTTGTCTATTGTCAGCTCCTTTTGAACTGTACTAAGGACATTATTAAATTCTAGTATGCTGACACTGCTAGCTGAAGAAACTTTGTTACGCACCACGAATTTATCTCGGAATATTATATATATTATGTTCATCTGGCAAGTTTACTTAGTAATCCTCAGCTCACTAACTGCAGTGCAGTGTGCCTTCCAACCTGTAACCACTTGTTCCTCTTTTATCACAGTGGTTTTGCTTATGGTGAGCACTAACAACAGTATCCCTCAATTAAATCACACCGACAGTTGTGCTTTGTTATCTGCTGGTATTTCTCATCTTATAATTTGGTTTCTTCGAAAATATAAATTTTAAGTTTAACTCCGTGGGAAAAGTGAAATATCACTGGACCCTAGCTGAATCATCTGGGAGTCAAGTCACGGAGTACCGAACACCTTGTCTACCAACATTAAGGTTGGGGATAACAAATGTCTATCAGAAAAGCACAATGAACGTATTTTTATTGTATAATTAATAAGTAGCTAGACTATGCATATTCATGTTGCTCTTATTAACAGTTTTATTTTGACCCATAGATTATTATTATACGATTCACCGTTCTTGAGTTATGCCCAGTCTATTAATTACAGTTCCCCAAATTCACAGGCACTTTTGGCTAGATCTTGTACAAATGTTTTTTTCTGTCTTGTGGTGCGATGTGGTCTGTTTGGTTCGTATACAACCCAGTATGTTTGAAATACATGATTCATAATGCAGAGGCTGAGATTGGTGTTCTGGACTTAACAGGCAGGGCGAAGCAGGACCGTCAAAGACTCTAGACTGCTCGTAACGGCTTTATGCGTCATTGGTCCGATCGACTATTCACCGCTCTCTAATTAGCGGTATCATTACGTGTACCAGCGGAGACGAACAATACCGACCAATGTTCCAGTTTGATACAGTTTATTTAGTTGCGACAGGATTTACTGGGCCTCATTATTATTTTGTCGCGATTGGATTTAACAGTACTACTAAAACATATGAACTGTTATGAAAGATTCTTTTAGTACCTGAAAATACTGATAATTATGTGACTTTCAAACAGATAGCTGACAGTAATCCGTTAAACATGTGTACATCCTTAAGTGCCATACACCGGACTCATGGTTGTAGTGTGCAGTAGACCAATTATATATGTTCATACATGCTGGTTGATGGTGTATACAAGTCGTTTGCAAGTATCAAGTTTGAGATAATATGGAAATCGATTTGTATGGAGTGATTATAAGGCGCAAAAATCAACTAGGCTCGTGTACCACAAATATAGGTGACACGGTGCTTGCGATTCTTTCAGCTAAATCAATTTTTGCAAGATGATAACAATTTGTACTGCTCATGTGTTTATCAGGGAGAGCATAGGCTGCGTACATAGGGTGTACAGCCCTCAACTCATGTCTACGATAATGGCGTGAATCTTTTTCGATGTAAATAAAACACATAAAGTCATAAAAACTGCGCTGTTTTTGAGGCTACCAAAGTTGCGCAACTCGTCAAAATGCCAGTTTACTTACTAACGCTTGTCACCTTTCGTGGTGGAGCATAGGCTGCCCACTGACATTGTTCGTTCATCTCTGTCCTCGGCAAGCCCTTCCACTTCTTTACAGTTGTAACTAAACCATTTGATGCCTGCTTCCATTATCGACTCAGTGTATTCTTTGGTCTTCCACTTCTCCGTTCCCCTTCAGTATTCCAAGTTGGGGCTTGCCTCATGACTCAGTTTGGTGATTTCCGTGATGTATATCCTATCCGCTTATCACACCTCTTCCGAATTTCCTCTTTAGCTGGAAGTTGGTTTGTCTTCTCCTACAGTAGATTGTTGCTGGTGGTATCCGGCCAACAGATATCGAGTATCTTGCGTGGACAACTGTTTATAAATACTTGAACTTTTCTGAAGATGGTTGTGGTAGGTCTTCACGTTTCAACTCCACATAGTAGGAGTGACTCGACGTTCGTATTGAGGAGTTTGAAGTTGATATTGTTTGAAAGTTGGGTTGAGATTCATATGTTCTTCAACTGTTAGAATGTTGTCCTCGCTTTGCCAATCCTTGCCTTTACGTCTGCATCAGATCCTCCTTGTTCATCGATGATGCCTTCCAGAGTTTCTCTATCAAGTATGATTGGGTTGGTGTTTTCTGTGTTGTATTCGGGGACCTTGCTTTTTCCCTTATGTATGTTGAGGCCTACTGATTTACAGGCTGTTGCTACACTGATTGTCTTCATCCGCATTTATTCGTGTTTATAGGATACAAGGACCAGGTCATCCGTGAAGTCCAAATCGTCTAACTGATTCCGAGCTGTCCATTGTATTCCGTGTTTCTTCTCCGATGTCGCGGTCTTCATAACCAGTCGACCTCCGGAAATAAAGGAAGAAGGAGAGTAAGCAGTCCTTGTCTGACTCCGTTCCTTACTTAGAATGTATCTGTCAGCTGTCCTCCATGCACGACTTTGTAGTGTATGGAGTCAGCATGATGATAACGGTCTTTTCAGGTACAGCATAGTGTTTAAGAAGTTTCCGTGAAGTCCTCCAATCCATTAACGAGTAATACATTTATAGTCAAAATATGCTAACCCAGTCAAATCAAAAGCCAGAAGTGAAGAGTTTAGAAGTTATATTTGAAAAGCTATCAGCATATCACTGAACGTTTCCTTCAATTTCGAGATTTTCCGTACTGATTATGATAAAAGCATCAATCAGTGCTACCTGTCCCACATGAGACAGATCGTTTTCGCAAAGAACTCTTCGAAGAGTTTGGAGCGTCTGCGGTCAGGAAGAATATTATGGTAACGTGCCAGAGTGTGACAGAATTCTCTGGCGTCATTTCGTGTCGTTTGAGGCCTCTCTTTAATTCAATAGACCTCAGCGTTGGCAGTGCTGGCGACCTCCAAAATCCGATCGGCAGATGCAACCAGCTCGTCTACTGCGTTGTTGAATACTCGACACAAAAAATAAAGAAATCAACAGCAAAAATAGTTGAACTACAATATTCGATGAACCAAACAACCATCTAAGCACAACTAATTTAATAAAATCAAGTAATAATTCAGAAATTGAATTGCTAACCAGATAGTTCAGGTTTTACAGAAGCGTTAGATTCAAGTGAGCCTTGATAATTAGCTGGAAAATAATTAAGGGCATTATGAAAGCCATCAGTATTTGCTGCCATTTTCTCATATACTAGATCTGGATCTAAACAATAATAACATTGGAAGCAAATATTTCTGATTATGAAAGCAACTGTACATCAAAAGAAAGTATCGAGTGAATTAAGAGTACACTATAAATAAAATGAAACACTTGGTAAATCTGACAACGGATTATTCAACTGAAAAATTTTCGCCAAACGAAAATTGATTAATGATCATAGGCATCATTAAAACACTGCTCAAGTATGTTATGGCCATAAAGTGAGCAATATTAAGGGGTACATTCAATGTATTACATAGAGATGGAAAATCGATTGATGAAGTAGTGGATTTTGATTGATAGTGAAGGTTAGAACATGTTTTACGCATGCCCAACCACTTTCTATCTTGTTACGTGATGTTTGCTTTGGAAAAGACAGGAGACCAGGTAACCTGAGTTAGTCCTGGTAATGGTGGTCTCTCAGTCGACCCATCCTCCTTTGGAAAGAGTCGACAGATGGAGCTTCAATCACGTGTTGAAGTAATAAATTCCATTTGTCGATAATTCGAAAGGAAAATCGATAGTCAGCTGACAAGTAATTTGTTATAGGCTTGTGAACTTCTTAGTGTCCTCATAAACTCTTTGTTTCGGAAGACAAGAAAAATGAGGGCATTTCGGATGCAAATGTGTCACACAGTAATTTAAAAACTGTGATCAGTTCGCCTCTGGTTCTTCTTTGTGACAACGGAAATACGTTTGGTTTAGCCGTTTGAGCATCATATGGGAACTCTGCCTTCCCCAGAATCAGCTTAGTTGCGGTTTTTCGAACCTTTACCAACAGTTCACTTTCTTGTTTTAGGAAGGAGTCAGTCGCTTGTATGTGGTGCTCGAGTTTAGGACGAACGAATACTGTATGCAGAGTCAGAAAAGTTTCGGCATCGACATGGTGAAAGGCCCTATGTATTGACCACAGGGTCCCACAACCTTTGACGGCTATCGCATGGCAGTGTGCAGTAAGTTTGAAGTCTTGGCCAGCGATGACATCAAAGTCATTGTGTGTCTGGACAACAGATAGCTGGATGTTATTCACTGTGTATGTACCTGTACCATGGTGACCAATATGCATCATAATGCATTTGGAATTATCCATCAGCAACTACTGCCTTTTCCATCTCTTTTGATTTCGTTGCCCACAACTGCCCACTATCATTCCGTAAACTTTCGGTCAACCTAGATCTGATTTGTTGTCGCTCTTCATTGTGCTCAGTGCCTGATGGGATGAGTTCACGAGAATCTATCAGTGCAATAGATGTATCAGAAATCCACTGGTTTTTCGTAACCGTTTGGTTTAAATCACTTATAAATGTCGTTACTGTTTCCACAGCTGTTCGTATATCTTTCCAAGCAATATCTACTTCAGCCTCGTCTTCAGAACTGCCTAAGTATGACCTAAGTCGTTCCTGGAATCTACTTTCGGCTTTCGCGTCACTTAGTTCAATTCTAGTGGATCTTCTTAACGTGGTTTTTCTGCGTCTAGTGAGACGCAAGCAAGTACGTGCACGTATTATAGAGTGATCGAAGTCCAAATAGGTATTCTAGAACGAGCGATAGTCTTCTATCGAGCCTCTCCAACGACGACTGATGGCAATATGGTTTGAGTCCATCGTTGGTCGGGTCGCCAGATAAACGGAGGGCGTATGTCATTGGCTCTCTGTTGTGGCGAGGTGAGGTCAAAAGAATGACCACCCTAGGATCCTGTATGTGTCTCTTGGAGACACCGCATACATCAATGGTACAAGATTTTAGGGTTTTAGCCAAAGAGGCCTGCTGGCCGATATGACATAAGGTGCGTACGTTGACGGCTCCAATATGTAGTTTGGTTCAAGGGACGTGCGGTGCAATGACTTTTAAGTATAAATTTCGAAATATATCCCAAGACATTTCAATTAGGCACTCTGGTTCTATTGACCAATCTACTTCTGATGCTGAGTGCATAATACCTTATATATTTACTTTCCAGACGTTTGGTCTGGTTCGGGCTGACGCTCACTCGTTTATAGCAACTATGTGGAAGTCAAAGTTGAGAACTGGATGATCACTTTTACCTAAGGGTGGCATATAATCGAGGTTTTTAACATCATCCTCATAATGGGTCAATGTGAGATCTAGTAATGATGGTTCAGATTCAGGGTAGTATTATAGTTAGCGGGATATAGATTGGATTAAAGCATGTCCCGTGCACGATTGTGTTGATGCGCACTGACTGACTGTTTCTTATCCAATCATATCATGTAAAAAACTATAAATATACTAACGTTTCTCTTATTGTGCTTCTTACTTCCATCTGCCTTGTTTGGAATATGATTTCTTCCCTGTTCAACCGTGTTCTGATCTGAAGAATTGTCGAGTGAACTGGTGTCCAAGAATGCTAAGCAATAGCAATAGCTGGGTCGTAGCAAGAGAAAATTATAACATATAGGTACATGCATATTCAATGATTCCGCAATGACAAAATAAAGACCACGTTTTTTCTTTATTTGTAACAACTCATATGCAATCGCATTCGTATTCAACATCTGTTGTTTCTCTGTACAAATTGTAACAAAATGGACAGAATTGTTTGGCTGTACTAATACACACGCTACCGCTGTAATTCTAGTTATCGTTATCTCTATCATATGTTCTTCTATTTTATTGGCCACGACCTGTGATTGAAGGTTGTAATAGTGTCATAACATCCTTTTAAGCAAATTTTCACTACGTTGGAGTTTTGACCCGGATTATTATTGAGTAACACTATCGGATTTATCTTTCGCATTACCCCGTTGGTGCCAACACATGCAGAAGAACCTTCGTTAATCAAGTGAAGTCAATTGTCTTTTTAGTCGCAGAAAGAGCTTACAAGTAACATTCATTATATAACAGTTATTTTCATTTTATCATTCAATACATCATTTTGTTGTTAGTGCTATTTATTACCGTTTTGCATTACTCATAAACAGACACTTCAAAATTTGTATTTCAAATATTTACTGGACTTACGATTACATAGCTTTTTTAAATGTGTTATAGACGCCAGACTAGACTTATCATTACGCGAATCATCTGCACTACTCATTTTCAGTGAAACTTCACGTACCATTCGTTTAACAAAATCTGAATATACCTCACGCTGACTTCCAACTAAATTGCAGCAAACTACTTGTTCAACTGAAACGGAGAATAATAAGGGAGAAATTGGCGTATTTCATCAAAATTAAATAAAAATGTGAATATTTCTGTGAAGCAAGTAGATTTTAAAGTTAGTGGAACCCTGATAACATTGAATCCAAATATAAAAATGGGGACCAAAAGCGGAAAATAATTCGGTGTTGTCAACTTTGTAAATCAGCATAAGTTTCTACTTTATTTATAACCAATAAAATACAACAAGCGTACGAGTGATCAATTATGAAAATGAATACATGATGTACGAAAAACTACCTTTAAAAACTCAAATAAGGATAAACAGCTGTTTTGGTTAAGCTTTATTTTACCTTGTGAATATATAAATGTCCATCATGTTTATACTATGACTAATGGTGACAATTTAAGTGAACCTAAGTGAATACAAATTCTAAAGTGAGAGTTTAGCGTTTATTTCAGTTTATATTAATAATATATATTTGACCACAGGGAACAAATAAGTGACTCATCTGAATAGCTGATGTAAGAAAAATACACACATTATTGCTAATAACTACTTGGTCTCATAACGTTACTCTAAGTGGCCATATACTTCAGAAAGTATTTAACATCGATTTATAGTAAATTAGAAAACGTACACGGAAAAATAACTTTAATCAAGAGAAGTTAGATATGGTAAGAGAAAAAATTACTCTTATACACTGATAACAAAATAATGTAAAAACAAAGAAGCAAAAAGACACAAACGGACATACTTTTCACAGGTAAATATTTTGTGAGTAGAGCCTGAGTCCGACGGATAATACACCGTGTCACAATACCTAAAAGCTTTTCAAAAGGAGTTAAGTAACAATTATAATAATAATGATGATATGTTCAAGTGGTTGAAGGCTACGTTTAAGGACGATTTAATAAATCAAGATGAATGATACATTGTCAAGCCAAATGAAAAAACGTATCCAAAAGTGCTGTTAGTAAGAATGCAAAATTTACACTCAAAAAAATAAAGGAATTAAGTAAACCACCGGTACATACGATGCTAGTCGATTCATAACTTAGAATTTCCTCTTATGAAGTAAAATATAGATTCATAGTAGGAAATGTTGATGTGGACTATGAATTGGAAATTATGAGTTTTAGGAAGAGAATGAATCAATAATTACCGTTGAAATTTAATCAGAGGACTTGCTAGCATTTCAGCGAAACAACGTAGTAGGCAAAAAAGTAACAAAACATAACAGCAGAAAGAAAAAAACTAACTAAAGGAATAAAATAAATAAAACTGACTACACGAAGACGATGCAAAGATGGAGATAAGTATGCAAGACTTTCATATTATTTTCTTTATAATCTTCGTCTTCTCTTATCCTCCATTTGTCTAGATGACCTTGTATTTTTATATATAAATATTCCAAACAAGTATATGTGATCAGGTCGTTCGTAATATATTGCGCTAATGAATCACATAGCTCGGATAATCTTCGTCCAATTATTGCACTATCCAAATTTACCAAAGGGACTAATTCCGTTGTAATATAACTGCTATTATTACTATTATTACTAATGGTTTATCATTACTATTGATCTTCCGAGCACTCACCCCACTATATTATTTTTTACTGATTTCATATAACTTTATAAACAACACAGTCTTTTACTAAACATCTGATAGAGTTTCTAATTGTAGTATTATTTCTTTCACCATATCTGAACCATATTTATTCTAATCATTAATCTCAATATTATCTCACAATTCCACTAATCATATAAGCTTGTTCAAGTTAACAATGAATAATAGTATTAATTTGTAATTGTTGTTTCCTTTACTGGTTAAAGTGATTGTATCTTAGCTGAATAGCCAAGATCTTTTTGAAAACCTTTCACCGCCTGTTAATGACGTCTTCTAGCTATAGCATCCAAGGTGAATACCTAAATGTCATAGAAAATTCCACACTACGCGCGTTCATTGACAGCTCCTATTTGAACAGAAATGTCATTGAAGCACTGCACATGTATATTCGGACTATCAAGTGAGCAATATTAAGGGATACATTTAATATATTAGATAAGGATGGAAAATTGATGGATGAAGTAGTGAATTTTCATCGATAGAGGAGGCTAGAACATGTATTATGTATGCCCAACCACTTTCTGTCTCGTTACGTAATGCTTGCTTGTTAAGTACATCAGCGGAAAATTAGAGCCTACCAAACTAAAATATGACAAAAGCCCATCAAGACATTGACTGTTGCACTGAGCAATGTATGTAAGCGTCGACTAATTTATTTATTTTATTTGAAAACAAGGAGGCAACGAATATATATGATCCACCCTTCATTATTCGATTTATGTGGGGGCTGTAACACATCCGGGTACCCAAACCTAAGCAGGTGGTTTTCTTAGGGGGCCACTCCCCGAGCCTTTGATCTGAAGGTCCAATCCACAAGTCAGAGGAGCAACGTTAGGAGATGCAGTCTCATGTTAGCCGGTGACCAACAATAGGTTCATACGTCATTTGTTTCCCTACGATCCTGGAGCCCATGTGCACCACTGGTTTGGAATCAGGGTTTTCCAACTCCCCTATATGGGTCCTTCGTATCCACTAACCCTGTTAAAGCGTGGGACATTCGCTTTTTGTCCTCTCAATTTCGTAAACAACATCCCATCCGCGAGAAGGCAATGAGTTGGACTTTCCTGTCAGTGACTGTATACGCGTGGCTATGTGAGAGCATTTAAAGAGGGCGAGTGAACTCTCCCCACCCTCGGTCGTACCAGGGCATTTGGGGGGCCTTCGACTAACTGGTTGATGTTCGTGTAATTAATGTAAATAATGGTTAGGAACCTTGGGTGGCATGACTCAGAATCATTCCCAAATGCTCAGGCGCATTCACTCTTTATCTTCCCTTTGATCCTAAGTTTCAAAATTATACTTTCCTTTTTACTTTACGAACCCACTATTTCTTGTTAAATCATTGTCTTAAAGTAAACTTTCCTACTGCTACTACTGTAGTTAACGAGAATTCAGGTGGGGATAACCAATTTATTATATAACGCAAGGTTATAGAGTTCTTTAGTAAAGTGTGAAAACAGGACAATAAATACTTCATTTTTAAACCTTCCATCAATCGTCTTTTACATCCTTCATGATTCTTCACTTATTGATTCCTTTCTGTTTCCCCTTTCTCTGTTCTTCAGTTCAATCTTCTTAACCATTTTTGACAGGCCTTCCGCTTCCGATCGTCGTTACATACTACTTATATCCGTAACATGCACCATACTACTACTACTACTACTACTACTACTACTGATGTTGCAACTAATTTTGTTACACTGGGATTTGTCTGGACAATTTCATCTCGCTATGCTAATAGGATATAACAGCTTGAACCGATGCACATGTGTACCAGGTAGTACAGTGTGTATAACTGACTGACATTTATTGAATCAGAGTGTAATGAATGTTCAGATGTCGAACTTAAATCTTGAAACTGGTGAATGTTTTCCCATGAAATTATTAACGTCACATAGCATGGACAAGAACAGGTAGGAATACAAAGTTTTAAGAAACATACTTCCTGCAGTATCTCTTCACCTTTCTTTTGATCTTCCTTTGTAGCATCTGCATCACGTCCACGCAAAATGGGTATTTCATAACGACGTCTAAATTCACTGGCTGTACCCAATAATCCCATATTGACAAAGTGTACTAGACTGAAATACTCCAGTAAATCATTCTGAATTGGTGTCCCAGAAAGAAGTACACGACGTGAACATTTTAGTTGAACTAGTGCTTGATATGTTTGATTTTCAGAATTCTTTAAACGATGGCCCTATTTAAGTGAAATAGAAACGATGGCAAAAATCTAGATTTATTATTTCGAAAAAAAAAGATTCCTACAAGAAAATCTAGCTTACTTTTTTCATAAAAAAAGAAGAAATAACAGACAAGTAGTCGGTTTCCCAACAAGATATATTAGGCTGTGGCAATCAAACTTTGAACCAAAAAAACTTATACAGAAAAAATTTACTTCTGAACAGGTGACAGAAAGACTGCATTATTTTGTGGTACACCAGTTTTACAAACCAATCAAGTTACTTCGGAAAACTGGCTCACAAATGACCTGGTACGACCGAGGGTGGGGAGAGTTCACTCGCCCTCTTTAAATGCTCTCACATAGCCACGCGTATACAGTCACTGACAGGAAAGTCCAACTCATTGCCTTCTCGCGGATGGGATGTTGTTTACGAAATTGAGAGGACAAAAAGCGAATGTCCCACGCTTTAACAGGGTTAGTGGATACGAAGGACCCATATAGGGGAGTTGGAAAACCCTGATTCCAAACCAGTGGTGCACATGGGCTCCAGGATCGTAGGGAAACAAATGACGTATGAACCTATTGTTGGTCACCGGCTAACATGAGACTGCATCTCCTAACGTTGCTCCTCTGACTTGTGGATTGGACCTTCAGATCAAAGGCTCGGGGAGTGGCCCCCTAAGAAAACCACCTGCTTAGGTTTGGGTACCCGGATGTGTTACAGCCCCCACATAAATCGAATAATGAAGGGTGGATCATATATATTCGTTGCCTCCTTGTACCAAAACTTGTTAAAATAAACAAATTAACTGTAAAATGCTGTATACGAAGTATTAAAATTGACGATGAAAACTTCCCTTTAACTAAATAAATCTACTCAACAGCAAAGAGAGCAACTAACCAATTATTCTAAGCCACAAACTCGTACAAAACCCAAGTTATTGAAAGTAAACCATCCACGACTGTGGTTAAATCGTTTTGCGCATCCATTTTTTCTCACTAATTATCGGAGAACGATTTTAAGGTTTCGTAAGTAATAAAATACTATTGAAGTTTCACTAGCTCAGTGAGCCATGTAGAAGACAGTAGACCTCTTGAATAAACTGCTGGTTTAAAGCTCATAATGTAATTAAGCACAATTTGTAAAAGAGCGTTCACATCTGCAATTGCCCTGTAGGTACAAAAACTATGAATCCAGTGGTCAACAACTGCGTTACTCCTACAGCTACAACAGTGGCCTTGAGTGTTGTTAGAGGTATGAGGGTGATTATCACTTCCCGGTTCCCCACACCGTGGAAGGGTTCTTCTGGAGGTACCTGAAAAGGAGATTGGATTAGAGGTGGTCTTAGTGACCTGAGAGCGCGACCGCAGTGCTCAAGGGACAACTGCTTGTGATCGATCACACACGACCTTTTCGTGGGTAATTTTCTTGTTAGCTCCGTACTTGTTGAGACCTTATCGCCGGAGACGGATATCCGTGGGATAAGGCGAGGTGTGCATTTTCAGGGTCGACCATTTCTAACTCCACCCCTCCTTGTGGGAAGGCAGCATCGCTGTCATGCTGGTTGTCTGAAGGAAACACCTTACTGCCGTCACACCTCTGTACAGTCAGCAGTACGACTTCGCCTTCGGACCTTAGGTTTGTTGCTTTTAGTCTTATCGCTCTTCAACCGACCTGTCTGACATGGTAGGACGTTGAGGAACGGTTGTTCCATCCAGTATGGCTCGGTTGCTTCATCACGATAGGCAAGCCCGACCACCACGTCAAGGTAGCAACAACGGTCGGGCGTTACTCCTACTTTTATGGCGTGGTGTATATGTTTTTTGTTTGTACCGAGTTCAAAACTAAAGTAATGAGTGAATATTACATCCTTTTGGCACTCATCAACTCATGATCATAATGTAAGAATCTGTTAAAATAAACACCTAATTGTATGATGTTGACAGTTTGCAAGTGAATATCTTTTCAGATCTAACTAGAAGAAAATCTACATTTTTGTCCCGGATATGATGTAAAATCAACCTACCAGTAGATGAATTCACACTACTGAAAATTTGAGCTTTGATACTAACTTGAACGATACTGCTGTTTGTAAGTCAAACAACTGTTTCCGAGATCAACATGGTTGTGGAGATATCTAATGTGAATTCGAGAAACAGAGACTGTGAAAAATTTATCTAAACGGTTAATTGATTAAATGAGCCATCCTGGAAGCATAATTTTAATCATTGAATCAAAACTATTTGGTCGTTGGATTAACTGAGTTGTGTATAGTTTTAGGCGTATATATATATATATATATATATATATATATAATAAACGGTATAATCATTAATATAGTATTTAACACCGTTACGACAGAAAACTATGAATGAAATGCAACTTCCTAATAAAGATAAAAAAGATTACATATGTGATTTGAATGATATGCTAAAACATCCCCCAACTTAGATCTGATTAACTGTTATTCTAATTTACTAAGATCGTGATAAATAATAGGTGTTGAGGAATAAGGAACTAGACGCGTTGGACGAAACACAAAATTTAGTACTCGTTTTAAAAAAGGGAAGCTTAAGCAAACTCGGAGTAGCCCAATTTATTCCAAAAAACAGGTAAATGTTTTTGATGCAAGCAATAAAGTAATGAGTTCGTAAAAAGCAGAATCGCTAGGTTGTGGGATTACTTGAGAGTATATAGAGTCTAAGGACGATATGAAAGATGTTTATCTTATCGATCCAAAGCAAGCCCATCAAATCCAAATCATTTTGTTTGATGCTATAAAATATATCATCGAATACTTTTCTACAAATTAGATATGATCATTTTTCAGCTAGTCATAACATATCTGCAAGAGAATTTCCAGCAGCATTATCTGTTGGTTTGATTTGCGAACATCCATGAATGTTTCACATACTGTGAGAAATTAAGATGATATCAGATGAAGATTAAAGCTGAAGGGACATAGCTAAATTACTAACAGATAAGTTTACATACTTTCTTCTCTCTTTGTAATCAACCTGGAATTTTGTAAGATCACTTTCGATCCCATTTTATGATCTATACCTGGATGTATTCTGGTGTATGATACATATGTGGACAGATATGTAGTAGCAATCTGAGGTGAAATGGGTGCCAGAAGAAAGAATTGAAGGGAAAAGAGAGGGAAACAGAGAGCAACTGTAACAATAGCAGAACTGAAAGAATCATGTAAAGCATGTAAAGGACAATTGAAGATGTGCAAATAATGTATTCAGTGTATGGTTTTCCTATTTTATGAAAGCACTTCAATTTTGCACTAAACATTAAATTGGTTATCTCCACCAGTCTTTCGTTTACTACAGTTGGTCAGTCAGTCAGCTGCATTGTAATTTGAGAATACACGAGCATTGCCACAATCATCCTTCCCTAATGAAGCAGTATTACTGTCACCCCGTAATGCCGGAATATCTCATCTCTTAGTCCTTTGATTTATGTACGAGCATAAGCATTAATGGTATTCTATAGTCAGTCAGCTACAACGTACAACCAGACACATACATGCATAGGTTCAAATTGCCATACCTCATTAGTACAACAAGATCAACAACGAATTCATAGAATCACTTAATTCAATAGTGTGTTGAGGATAATGTCCTCAATATCTGACTCCAAATAATAATATCCCGTAACTGAGTATTTTAGCTAGGCTTAATCTCCTAGTAGAATTGCGAATTTACTCGAGATTATTAAAAAGCCTGAACACCAGTTATAGAGATAGTTTATTGTTAATGAATAATAATAATCCACAAGCGCACGATGAGCAAGCACACGATGAAACAGAGAGAGTGTGTGAGTGTGTTAAAAATCCATATATATTTGAGAGTTAATCGGGTGTGGATAAATTATCGATTATCTGCACATTGCAACCAATAGGAAATAAGCTTAAGAGTTAATGTACAGACATGCATTCGATCATACACACCGAAATTAACATAGTGAATTGAGTCTGAGTTACAATGACTAGACAAATGATACAGTAGCCAAAAGGGCTTGCTACATAAGCTCCCATCCAGAACATTGATGTTTTTATGTACCAAAAAAAAAAAATTCGATTAACATCTATGTTCGACAAAGAGATAAAGAACGGAACTGTTTTTAAAATAAAAGTACAACTCAATATGATGAGTAAGCGTAAAATTGTAATAACAGCTTGTGTGTTGAAACGTTTCATATCATGTATATACAAGTGTAAATTTAACATTAATGAATTGTATAAAGTTAAAATGTAAGCATAATGGTGATCCGTGGGGCCAATAAAAAAAAAAGTAATCAATATAAAGTAGGATTTTTATGTGTTATAAGAGTAGTCTCAGGATTTGGTCTAGATAAATATAGTGGTTGCTACATACCTATCTGGCCAATGTACTCTTCTTCCTGATCTTGTTGTAGTTTGTGCTGCTGCTGAATTTTGATTTGAAATGTTGCTTGTTGCAGGTAGTTTGAATGGTGCTTGCTCTGCTGCGGGTTTAGACGGTTTTACAGTTGCCTGTTTTTCAGTGTTCTCTAAAAATGCTGGTTTTACTCTATCGATGCTAACTGTATCATGTTTACCTGCTCTTTCCACTGTAACCGTTTTAGTGTCCTTTCGGATGATTTTAAAAGGGCCGTCGTAAGGAGTCTGTAACGGCTGTCGTACTCTATCATTTCTGACGAATACATGTGAGCATTTGTCTAGTTCGTTGGGTACGAATGATTTCACCTTTTGGGTTCGTGGTTTAACGGACCTAATGGATTCCATCTGCTGTTTTAATTGTTGTACGTAGTTGGTTATATCTGCTGGAATATCTGTTGCACGGTCAAAAAATTCACCAGGCAAACGTAATGTTGTTCCATAAACCAACTCAGCAGCACAACAACCGAGGTCTTGTTTGATGGTTGAGCGAATACCTAATAGTATCAAAGGGAGCTTGATATCCCATTTGTAATCTCCTCGTGCGGCCGTCAAAGAGGCTTTTAACTGTCTATGGAATCTTTC